TTTCAAAATCAAGGTGGGCGGTGACAGAGAAAAACGGATGCGCCGAGGAGGACGTCTGTCCCACATTCACCTGCACAACGCTGCGTGCACATGTACATACCACAAGCACACACTACACAGTCTGTCACAGGAAGCACTTAGAATTCGAATCAGCAGGGGGAGAAAGTGACAGTATGAAAATACATCAATACCTGAGGGAGTTCCTCCAGAGTCACGGTTCTGTCCTCACTCCTTCAAGCCTGCAAGTAAGCATCTTCTCTCTGCTTCCTGCCCACGGGATCAGGTGTTTCTTCTGACCTGTCTGTCCCTAAGCTCCCAAAAGATCCGCTTATGCAGAGCGGGAGTAAGGCTCCCGGCACCTCATAGCACTCGCGTGCCACCCCGCACACTGTCAGACATGAAGGACACACATTTGTCTACACAGACTGCAACGGCATGCGCCGTGCTGCCGCTCCTCGGACACAGTACAGAGCTGTTCTATGGTCACTGGAGTGGAGCTTCAGACATGGAGGATCAATCCTCCCCCACCACACACCCTTACTGTGGACTTCCCACTCCTGCTTTTTCAAGGGATCCCTTCAATGTGAAGAAGCTTGGACAGTACTCCAATTGCATGCTTTGGAGGCTGCAAGGGCAGAGGGGAGGTAGAAACGGTAGGGTGGGTAAAGATCAAAGGTTCAAGGTCATTCTTCAGGCATATACTGAGGGTAAGGCCCACCTGCCTTTAAATGAAAAAGGCGGTCTGTTTAATGTGAACACAGGCCCGAACAGGTGCCTGGCTGCCTCTGCCTTTGGAAGCACCGTGATGTAAGATACACTGCAAATGTCTGAACTCAGAAGCGTTTCTCCACCGGAAGTTCTGGTGCACGATGATGAACATGGCTAAAGTGATACTTTTTAACTGTGTGCGCTTCAGTATATCCCAGCAAGACTATACATCTTGGGGGAGGTTGCCGGGATGCTGCTCTTCCAAAACTCGGCTCCCAATACGCACAACAAGCAGCTCACAAACTACCTGCCACTCCTGGGGACTGGATACTCCCCCTGGCTTCTGGTGGCATGTGCACACATGTGCCACACACACAGGCACACATTTAAAGATTACACATTTTTACAGACCTTTACTGTACAGCTCCTTCCACTAATTGCTGGCAATTATGACCAGATTTAAAAACACAAAAGCAAACCCATGACATGTCAAAAATTCCTACATGCACTTCTAGTTGCTCATGGTTGAGTGAGTGTACAAATACAGACAACTACGGAGGAGCAAACACATATAACATACATGTTTTTACACATACATATTAACAATCCAGTGTCTACTGAGGACTGCCTACTATTACATAGAGTAGGTAATCCTTGTGAGCAAATGCGGGAATAATTAGAATTGCTACTTTATACCTGAGAAAGGAGGCACAATGCAGGTGAGATAATTAGACCAAAGTTCCTAAAGGGGCAATAGTCTTCAATCCATCCCCTGACATACTAGGTTGCCAGGGCTATAAACTACAAAGTTTAAGCAGAAAGGTATTGGTCACATGGGTTTCAAACAACCAAGACCAAGTCCAAGGCGGCAGCAGGCTTGTTTCTCCTGAGGCCTCTTCTACCCTCAAGGAGGGCTCCCATTTTCCATGGTGTCTTCTCTCTCCATACCACATACTTGGTGTTTGTTTTCCAACTCCTCTTTCTCTTCTTTTTCTTATAGAATAATAGTCATATTGGATTGGGCTTCCCTACCTTTGATCCTCTTACTACCACAAAACATTAAATGACAGGGGATGGAAGGAATTCTAACTTCAAATTAATGATCTTACTCACAAAAATATAGTTAATCTGGGCACACCGCTATACACAGTGTGAGAGGCAGACAAGCAAAACACTCTCAAATTCAAAGCCAGTTTAATCTCCCCTGAAGCTCCAGGCTCCAAGGTGCATGTTTGTGCTGCCCTCACCCCCCAAAACAAATGACTTAGGAAGACACAGAGCTTTCCTGGAATTGCACCCTTCTCTCATTCTCCTAAGCCTGCAGGAAGGACAACTGGCTGCAGACACACAACACTGACACTCAGTACCTAATGGAGAAGCACAGCCACCCAAACGGTCCATGGAGATAAAACTGGATCACATCTTATAACCACCTGCTGCCCCCCACTTCTGTCCCCCGATCCCTAAACGGGGCAATCTCGGGATACAGCTTTTTGGCTCTTACAACAATCATGTGGACTAAAACTTAATTTCATTTTATAGTTGAGAGAACAGGAGCACAGAAAAATTAAATGTCTTTGTGAAGGTCACTACACTTGTCAATAGCTTCTAGAGTCAAGGCTACCATCAGCCTCACACTGTAAAACCTCCACACCCAGCATGAACGAGGCATGAGTGGTTAGCACACAGAGGAGTCCGGTGCCATCCAGACTGAGTGGCAGCACCTCCCTTGTGTCCTTCACAGGGGGCCAAGATTTCCTGACTGACAATTGTGACTGTCACCAACTTCTTGGATTGACAGCTCTGGTACCAGTGACCACAGCTTCCTTCTTTCCCAGGACGTGGTACCTCATTTCAGACCAACAGGTTTCAGTTGAGAATTGAGTGCATGTAAGTGTTTGTTGTATAATCAAGTCAGTTTCCTTTAGAGACAGCAAAGAGTACTTTCCGTGTGAGAACACTGACAAAGAGCAGCATTCATGTCAGGTCCCTGCAGCAAACAACAGAGGCCTTCGAGGCTTCAATCTCCACCTGACAGGCAGTTAAACACATGTAAGTGGACCCGCCAGCCCACACCCACTCAGGCATTTAGTCGGTGATGTGACTCTCAGAAAACAGTGACCAAGAATAAGACATGGAAAATTACAGTTCCCAGAGGGAACACTAGTGGATGAAAAGGTCAGCTGAGCTGCAGCAGAGGGCTGTTTGTCAGGGCCTCTGTCGTAAAAAGGAGCTATATAAAGAGAAGGCATGCTAACTTTAATTTTCTCAAGAAAACACTGTTATCTGATTTTTCAAAACATAGTTTTTTGGTTGGATTCTGGGGGATAGAGTTTTTTTTTTTGGGGGGGGGGGCGGACACACTGAAACCTGCCATGTAGCTCAGGCCGGACATTCTGCCACTCACTGCACCTCCACTGCACACCACCCCATGCTGGGGATTACAGGTATGCGCCACCGCGCCCAGCTTCAAGTTTGTTTTGCCAGGAGCAGTGCAGCAGTTTTGATCCTGCCATGGAGACTATCTGACAACCTCAGAGTTCTGTTCTGTTCACACGGAAAGGAAATGAGCATTGTGGCCAGACAGCTAAGCTCTGTGCACTCCTGCAAGTTCAGGGGCCTGAGGAGGGCTGGGGAGCTCCCATCGGTAGCTTCTACCCTCCTCGGGGAGCAGGCTGTCTATCCCGTCCACAGCTACATGCTGCAGAGGTCTGAGTTCTTTAAAAAAGCAGTCAGCATAGACATAAAAGGCTGAAGTCTAAATTGTCACCACGGTGACACTTCCTGTTTGGATTAATCATTTCAAGTGACGCTGAGATACAAGGCAGACATATTTCTTTCATACACAAAAAAAGCCAAGGCATTCTAAAAGTATTCTTTCCAAATGCCCTATCAAGAAAGATAACTTCCAGATACACACACACACACACACACACACACACACACACACACACACACACACAGGATGTAAATGCTTCCAGGATTCAGAGGGCAAAATTCAAATCTCAACTTACTTTTTCTCTTGCTTTCGTAATTACTTATCTGTAAATAAACATATGTATCACAAAGTACTGGCTTAAGTGGGTCAACATGAATTATGTGAGCGATATCCTCCTGTAATGAAAGTATTCTGTAAAATGCACTTCTATTTAGATTTCCTTCCTAAGTACTCAGGTTTCTAAAGACGTGAAAAAGCAAAGTACTCTTTCCCCCTTACTATGACTTTGTCTCCTAGCACTGAAAAAAGCTTGGTGTTTGGCAGCGGGAGAGATGGAACTGTTATCTGGCCAGCACCAGCTTTCTTAAGCTGACTGCGCTTCAAATAATTAGCTTGCAGGAGGAGCTGATTGAATCTGATGCGCGCATGACATGGGTCAAGCAAGGAGCCCACGTGCCTTTTGACTGCACAGAGACGGGTACTGCCGGCAAAGCAGTCAGAGGAATCAGGGCTTCAAGCGCTGGAAAGAAGATCAAGAACCATGAGATGCAACATTCCGGGTAACTGTGTGAAACCTGGACTTCCGTGAGTGCCCTGCCATATTAAATCACATATGGCTCTATAATGAAAGGGAAAATTTAAGTCCCTCTCACGCCTCACTTCTGCCAATGACGGAGCTTACGAAAGAAGATGAAGTCAGCCTTTTAAAGTTATTCACTGGAAAGGAGAAGTCACAGTCTCCACAGTTAAGGGCGTAAGCCCGTTTGTGGGTGGATGGGGCGCAAAAATCTTGTTCAACGATTAGCGTCCTTAAATCATTCAAAACAGGAAACCTGGATTTCTGTAAAACTCTCCTGGTCTGAGAAGGCTAGAGCTAGCTGACTGTGCAAACGGACATACGCTGTGTGTCTGTGCGCCCACTACTCGCCCTACACTTGTCAAAACAGGGTCACGTGCTCGGGAACACGTGCTTCTTTTACTTTGAATATTTTTCACAGCCTGAGAACTGACGTCCTTTGATGGAGTAAAGTGAATGCGGTAACCCAGCCGCTCTTCCCAAGGACGGGGTAGGAAGACAGCCCGGGCACACTCACAGTGCCCAATGGCATGTCCAGAAACCCAGAAAAGGGCAATATGGAAGGTGCCGTTTGGGTCAAGTGGAACCCTTTCTCATGATGGCTGCTTACTACCAGCCTGGGCCCCTCAGAAGTGAGGTCGGAAGAACAGGCTATTTCTTAACAAAATGTAGAACAAGGTCCAGCTACCTCGGCATACCACAGCGCACTCTCCCAAACAGTGACTGACAGCTCTCTGCCGTGGTCGTTTTTGCAAAATGAAAAGTAGTTCAACTTACATGGCTCTCTGGCAATGAACTGAGGTACAGTGTTGGGCAAAGGCGTACTGGGGTTTGGAGTCCCTACGAGTTTGTTCTTGGCCATCTTCGTGTTTGCCTTAGCAAACTCTAGTCGTAGTGTTTGCGGGATTTCAGGATCGAAGCGGATGCCCTTTGGGGGGAAAAAGAATAAACGGAGATGTAAACCAGAATGGTGACAGAATAAACGCAATGGTAACCTGTGGCCTATGGGGGAACAGGGTGAGGGCTCTTACTCTCAGCATTTACCCAGAACATGCAAAACCCACAGCGCAATGTGGCCAGAGGGCCAGGCAGACCAGGCTCCTGCCACTAGAGCCTTCGGCTGTCTACATGTGCAAACACTGCTATTCTTCCTCAAATTGTTCTGGTCTGACTTTTAAAATGCAGAGCAACAAATTCACAACACATCAAAAACTTGGATTGGAAACTGCTACTGAGCATGGAAAATATATGCCTACGCTCCAGAGAGGGACACCTGAAATCCTGAGTGGGCTGCACTCGGAACGACACTATGAACGGTAAAATTCTTCAGTGCTTTTAGTGACGTTACCTATAAATAGAGAAAAAGCAGTCTGTCTCCAGTTCAGCTCTACAAAAGTAATACACAGCCCCACATGCTCAAAAATAGAAATTAAATAGCCACAATATTTTAAATGTAACTTAGCATTTGATTCCAGTTACTGCATGAATTTGCTAGGCTTCAAACGGTGAAATCCTGATTTCTTTTACAGTTGTCTTACAAGATACATAAGGAAACAAAAGACTCCATAGGCCTGAGATGAAAGTAACCTTAGTTGCTCATTCCTATCATTGCAGTTGACCTTTTTTAAAAAATGAAAAAAGCTTTAGTGAGTGTGGTAATAGGACATGCCTTTAACCCCAGGTCTCAGGAAGCAGAGGCACACAATCCCCAAGTCCCAGGCCAACGTGGTCTACAGAGTTGAGTTCCAGGACAGCCAGGGCTACACAGAGAAACCCCGTCCCTCAAAGCAAACAAGCAACAAAAATCATGTTTCAATAGAGCAGATTCCAAGCACTCAAAAGTCTGAGATTTAAGCATCAAGTGGGCTTCAGGACTTCCTCACTCAAGAATTTCTCCATTACCAAGCAAAACTAAGATTGTAATGAAAACCATTCAGTGCCAGCAATTCTGGATACTACCAACAGTGTCAAAAAGACACTGTGATTCCAGACCTCATGTTTGTCTCAGTCCTAGAAGTGAATTATGCTAAGAACACAAACTTTTCATTCATGTGGCCCAGAGGCCCCCACATCCCTCCCTTTAATTTACCTTCTGAGAGTTTCCTACCAGAGCGCTGTGAGCTTGTCACCCCACCACCTCCCACCTTTTTTCACTTAAGGAAAAGTCAGGGTTGTTACTGTATGAAATTAAAAAGAAGCTCTTAGCTCTGGAGGCCAAGACGAATGACTGAACTTTAGAGGTTCAGTTCCAAAGGCACACGGAAGAACCAGTGACTGACGTTAACAGGAACGGGGATTGGGGCAGGAAATAGCAGCCCTGACGAAGAGATCGCCTGAAGTGTGAAGAACTTATTCCTGCCTTACTTATTTTCTGAGAAAACAACCATTAAGGATGGAAAACACTGTGAGAAGGAGGCAAGATTGCATCTATACAGACCTAACCAACAAAAGTGAAAAAGAAGTATCAGTATTGTGAACTATAAAGAACAAATTTAACTTAAGGTCCTTCATTAGTAAACTCTCTGGTTGTATTACCAGAATATACACTAAAAAAATGAGGCTGTAATCTGAAGCAGCATTTGCTCCTGTCATCCTCTAACAGAGACCCACTTTATCCCACCATACCCATTATTGCCGGCTCACATCCGTAATCTTAGCCCGTGAGAGGAGGCTGAGGGAAGAGGATAAGCATGTGTTCCAGGATAGCCTGGGCTAGAGTGAGACCTTGTCTTTAAGGAAAACAAAGAGAAAAACAGTAAAGTTACCCTCAAAACCAAATACGGACTAAAGAAGCGTGTCTTTGCTGAGATGAGACAACTGCTGCTCCCCCAGAAGGCCTTGCACCTTCACAGCAGAGCTGTGCAGGGCAGCACACACACTTCAGAGAGCTTTCTCCTGCACTAACCTCCGCCAGCTGTCTTTGGAAGCATCTTTCTAACCCTGAGCCTGTATCAACCTGGGAATGCCATGACAACACTGTCCTGGGTCTTAGTAGTTCCTGTAGCGTTTAGCCTAAGACCACCATGCTGAACATTTGAATTCTACCCTTTGGTTCACTTATGGGTATCCTAGAATCCACCAAGACCATCAATGTGATTGCTTCTTGCACAACCACCTAAAACTTGCTGGGCTGAGTCTCCCTCCTCCCTGCCTCCTTCTCATACCCTTCTCTTGTTTGAGCTAAAATAACATCAACATCATGTTCCAAATCAAAGTTCCAGCATCTTATTAACAAAAACAAAACAAAACAAAAAACGCTCAGAAGTTAAAATGACCTAATTTGTTTGGCAGCCTACTGGGAGGCCAGAGGCCCAGAATACAAGCCACATTCCGCCAGCATCTTTAGCAGCAATACCATATTTGGTAATCAATATCCTGCTTCACTAGGTTTCTATCCATAGGGATTAGCCAAGTCCCAAACATTTTAAATGGTACAGGATGAGGAGATGGGAGAGGGAGAACTGCAAGGGGTGGGGGCGGGGGGAGACAGGACACAGCATGGGGGAAACACCTTGTGCTTTTAATTAAAGCCTAAGAAGCTCCCTCTCTGGCTATAGTAACTACTGCCAGGGGAGAGTACAGCCACGTGAAAAAACAGGGACTCTCTGAGGCGCCAATCAACTTCGGCCCCTCCAGCTAATAATATATCAAAACTCGATTATACAGAACCTTTCTCTTCAAAACATAAACGGCAGCATATATTTATATGGATCAGAAAATGATACTTCCGAGAAATCAGTAGTAATGTGAGGATGAACAAATTGTTATCTACGAGCCACAAGGTCCAAGTGCTATTACAGGGGCAGGCAACATCTCCAGCAATCCAGGTCAGGCCTGAGTTGGAGGCTGAACCCTTACAGGGCAGCCTGCATGAGATGCTACAATGCTGCAAACAACAGTGGATCCTTGGTAGTCTGCTGAGTATCAGAGAACACAAGGGCAGCTTCATGCAAGGGGAAGGGGGGAAGGCACTGAGGAAGATAAAATGGCAGAAGCTCACCGAGGGGCAGTGACAAAAAGCACTAAGTGGCAGTGGGAGTGGGCGTAAGCAGAGATGAGCTCATACAGGGGTGTCCAGACAAGGGAGGTCCGAAGTCCCTCTCGCTCGAAGATGGCACGTGTCCATTAGAGGTTCTCTAGCACCCCAATGCCTGAGGGATGTTACACGGTGCAGTAAACACAGTGCTTTAATTCCATGTCTAACACCCAGCCCAATATCCTTAGAGAGTAGCTACACAATTAAGCAGGCCTGCCAGTCCTCAGCAGTGAGCTTTAGGGGCAATGAAATCATTTATAGAAAGAATGAAAAAAAACAACAATAAAGAACAAGCCAGTGGTGACACCCATATACCTACTTATATCTGTGCTGTTCATAAGAAAAGGGTCAGACTGACATGGATGGTGTTATTTGAATTCTTACATCCTGTAATTTATACAGCCATAATGGATGTATTTATGAGAGAGAGGTTTTTCTCTGCTTTCACAAGTTGCCCTCTGACCTCCACATGCATGCTGTGGCAAACACAAAATAAATAAATCCTTTTTGAAAGTATCAGAAGCTGGCATGAAGGGCTCATGGCCTGGAGCAGGGCCATAGCAGGCATCGTGGCCAACACTCTGTTGGTATTTTCCGCTTACCTTAAAAAAGTTACACTGGGCCAGCAAGACGGCTCTGTGGATAAAGATGTTTGCCATGCAAGATGGAGAAGCTAAGTTCCGCCTACGGAACCCACGTGAAGGTGGCAACAGAGGTGGCTCCACAAAGCTGTTCTCTGGCTGCACACACGTCAGGGAAGGGCCCCCTAACTACCTTCCTATTGATCTATCTCTTTAAAGTTCTGACAAACAACTCCCAAGTTAGAGAACGGGTAAGAATTCCCGTGTCCCGCACAGAGGCTCCTAAAATGCTGGCACATTACCACACATACTTTACTTCCCGGCTCCTCTTCTGCTTCTATACACAGCTTTGACCACTGTCAAGTTTTATGAGCAATGACTTTATTACAGCTTGGATTCCTAAAGATGAGGTCCGTTCTGTGTTCTCTGCTCCAGGATCTAACCCAGAATCATGCAGGGAATTTACCTGTTGCCACTCAGTCGCCTTGACATTTTAAAAGGGTACTGGCCATTTGTTTAGCAAACTGTCTCTCAATTGGACTTTATTGCGTACGTGTGTTTCTGGTTCCCATCCAGCATTACTGAAGTAGGCATAGGATGTCACTTTAGTCCCTGCCGTGGTGACAGGAGCTCTGATCACATGTCAGATTTCCTCTAGTGTAAGGTTATTAATATTTTGTTTCTGGGTTTTGTTTGTTTGTTTGTTTGGGGACAAAGTCTCTCTCTTTAACCCAAACACAGAGACATTCTTATTATCTCCTCTTCCAAAGTACTTACAGGCCATCACCATGAGCCCCCATGCCTGGCTAGCTCTTCTTATCCACTAAGCACCTCCTACGAAGGGTCCTTTCAGGCTTTAGGGGATTCCTTGTTTCTCATCACAACTACCACTAGTGTAACACTTACTCCTGATTCCTACTGCCTGACTAATGGTGGTTTGGTAATCTGACCATTCCCTTTATGGTGTTACTTTTTGTCTCACTACGTAGCTCTAGCTATCTTGGAATGCACTATGTAGACCAGGCTGGCCCCAAACTCACAGACTCCTCTGCTTCCAGAGTGCTGGGATTAAAGACATGTGCCACCAAGCAAGGGTCATGCCCTCCCTTTCGTCCTCCCTCCCTCCCTTCTGTTTTTGTTTTTGAGACAGGGTTTCTCTGTGCAGCCTTGGCTGCCTGGGACTTTGTGAACCAGGCTGGCCTCAAACTCACAGAGATCCACCTGCCTCTGCCTCCCTAAGTGCTGGGATTACAGACATGTGCCAGCATACCCAGCTTCATTCCCTTTCTATATGATAATTTCCTACCTTTC